TTAAGATATTAAACTATCATATTAATTAATTTTATTCTGCTTTGATATATTAGTCAGACATAATATAATACTCACAGTTTTAGTATAATAATTTTTCAAGTTTGATTCATACTTCATGAAAGTATCCAGTTCATTTGAAATTCAGTCGAAAGAAGAATTATATAAATAAGTTCAAAATAAAGAAGACTAGTTCAATAATCAAAACTCACTTAGTACAACAATGGAATACTCTAAGAAGGCATCAGATTTCCAGTGTCTGATGGTTTCCATGAAAGTATCCAGTTCATTTGGGGTTTATCATACCTGTCGATACCAAATACATTCAAACTTGGTGGTATATTTGGAGGTGCATTTGTACTAACTTTTGTTGTGCTCATCAATTACTTTACTATGTTATAATGTCTAATGGTTGCACAATAGTATCCTGATGTTAAGTCATACTCAGATCTTGGATTTAGAGTTTTTGGACATCGAGGAAAATTATTAGTTGATATAACCATATGCGTAACTTAGCTTGCTTGCTGTATTGCTTATCAGTTCTTTTCAGCTTAATCATTTGATTTCATTCTTTGCAACTACTCTGATTAAGTTCACTGCTATGGAGATAAAGTTTATATGCTCTTGATTACAATTCCAGTTATATTCTTTAGTTTCATGGGATCATACAAGGCACTTTCTTACCTCTCTATTCCTTCGCTAATTATTACCATTTCTGGCATGATTGTAATACTCATCTATTCATTTAACAGAATAAACGAGAATTATGAGACTTCTAAGGAAGATCTAAACTATTTCAACATCTATGCAGTGCTTGGTAGAATAGGCATGGTTATGCATATCTTTGCTGGCAATCCATCAGTTATCAATATATAAAGTGAAGCTAGAAATTAGTATCACTATCCAAAAATTCTTCGAAAGGCTGTACTATGTTTACTAGTGCTATTCAATGTATATGGATTATTGGCTTATGTAGCTTATCGATAAGGCACCTAACCTATTTTTATAATGAGTCTGGTCCCTCTAGATAAGGTAATTCTCTTAGTTTTCATGGGTTTTTGCTTCAACTCTATGACATCTTATCCCGTTCAGATCCTCACAGCATTTTAAATAGTTGAGAAGCTTGAGTTCTACCAAAATATTAAGATGCATTATTATCTCAAAAGGTGTCTCTCAAGAGCTCTAATCATTATTACAGTTACTGGAATATGCTTGATTGTACCTAACTTCACTGATTTTTTAAATATATCAGGATCAGTTGGAGCAACTTTTTCATGTTTTATAATTCCTTAGCTTTTATATATGAAAGTTTTTAAAGGCTCAATTACTAAGTATCAAAGAGTAGGCTGTTGGATGTTAATTGTATTTGGAATTTTTGGAAGTATATTCTCATTGAGCTATACCTTTTCAAGAATTATGAAAGGCGATAACAAATGAGGAAAATAAAGTTCTTAATATCTCAAATTTTTATACATATTGATAAACATACTAAAACTCATTGGTAAAGACTAATATATCAAAGCAGAATAAAATTAATTAATATGATAGTTTAATATCTTAATTTCACGATTCTTACTCAGTCTGATATATATATATTTGCTCCCAGTGGGGTTTTGGGGTTTTGGGGTTTTGGGGTTTTGGGG